GGTTAAGGAGCAGCAAGGTATGAAATGGGCATCAGGCCTCCTGGAGAGAGATGAAGTCAACAGAGCAGAGCGAAGAGACGGAGGAGAAGCTCAGGCTCCCTCCCTCTTGCAATTCAATTCCTTGGGAATAGCTCATATTAATGACTCTCTCCCTATCCCAGAAGCTGAGTGCTTCATCGTTAATGGTGTAAAGAGGAACAATTAAATCCTTGGTAATTAGCATCCATCACCAGCTCACCAGCATCAGTGTGGCTGCAACTATGCTCTCGAGAGGCTGGAGAGCCAGCCTTGCTAGGGGGCGCCTTTGACACGGCTGCCCTTACCCCCGACAGCCACTAGGCGGCTTTCTCTGGAAGGGAAAGCTTGCAATGGGGCAATTGCGGGTAGGAAATACAGTCTGTTGGAGGGGGAAGGGAGAGCAAAAGTAAGGTTTGCCATGAGCCATGCAACAATGTTTGGATATTGTTCTCCATTGGCAGGAATGGAAATGGTTAGCTAGGCAGCTTCAGGGCTGATGAAAGGACTGAGCCCGATTTCCTGGAAGACGAAGTTTGGTCTGTTGTCACATGCACAGGGGCTATTTTTAGATGAATGCATATGAATTACTTCCTATGTAGGCAACTGTTAGGCATGGTCAACAGTCCCTGTGGATCATAGATAGATGATAGATAGAGGTAGGTAAGTAGGTAGGTAGGTAGGTAGGTAGGTAGGTAGGTAGGTAGATAGATAGATAGATAGATAGATAGATAGATAGATAGATGTAGATAGGTGGATGGATGGATGGATGGATGGAGGTAGACAGACAGATAGATGTAGGTAGGTAGGTAGATAGATGAATGGATGGATGGATGGAGATAGATAGATAGATAGATAGATAGATAGATAGATAGATAGATGGATGTAGGTAGGTAGGTAGGTAGATAAGAGGTAGATAGGTAGGTAGGTAGGTAGGTAGGTAGATAGATAGATAGATGTAGGTAGGTGGATGGATGGATGGAAGTAGATAGATAGATGTAGATAGGTAGGTAGATAGATGAATGGATGGATGGATGAATGGATAGAGGTAGACAGACAGACAGATAGATAGATGTAGGTAGGTAGGTAGATAAGAGGTAGATAGGTAGGTGGATGGGTAGGTAGGTAGGTAGGTAGGTAGATAGATAGATAGATAGATAGATAGATAGATAGATAGATAGATAGATAGATAGAATGGAAAGCTGATATTCTACCAAATGCCAGACTCTTAACATTATTAATTGTTGTTGCTATTGATTGATCCTCTGCCTTTTCTCCAGGAGCAAAACAAGGCTTTGCGAGACAGATTGAGCTGCGAGAGAATGATTAGCTCAAAAGCCCCAGATTGTCCCAAGTCCTAGTCCAATAACTCAACCATTGCCCCACACTGGCATCATATTTCTTCCCCTCTGGGCGTATTTTATTTTATTCAGCCAACGGATTTACTGCGTTTTCTGTCTTTTTATTTTTCCAGCAGGAATTAAAGGGCAGTGCAAAATATGGCCATCTTTTATTTTCCTCCGTCACAACAGGTTTGCGAGGTAGGTTGGGCTTCCACGGCGGAAGTCAAATGTGAATCTAGGGCATAGATGTCAAAACAGTGACATGAATTGATGCTATCCTCACCAAATCCCACAATTGTATTGTTGTACTACAAGCAGAAGTGGGTTTCAGCAGGTTCTGACCAGTTCTGGAGAACTGGTAGCGGAAATTTTGAGTAGTTCGGAGAATCGGTAAATACCACCTCTGAATGGCCCCGTCCCCATCTATTCTCTGCCTCCCGAGTCCCAGCTGATCAGGAGGAAATGGGGATTTTGCAGTAACCTTCCCCTGGAGTGGGGTGGGAATGGAGATTTTACAGGTTTTTTCTTTAATTTGATTTATATGCCGCCCTTCTCCGGAGACTCAGGGCGGCTTACAATGCGCTAAGCAATAGCCTTCATCCTTTTTGTATATTTATACAAAGTCAGCTTATTGCCCCCACAACTGGGTCCTCAATTTACCTACCTTAGAAAGGATGGAAGGCTGAGTCAACCTTGAGCCTGGCGAGATTCAAACCTGCAGTAATTGCAGGCAGCTGGTCTTAATAACAGGGTGCTTTAGACCACTGTACTACCAAGGATACCAAGGTATCCTTCCCCTGCCATGCCCACCAAGCCACACCCACCAAGCCATGCCATGCCCACCAAGCCACACTCACAGAACCAGTAGTAAAAATTTTTGAAACCCACCACTGACTACAAGGCCTAAGTATACGAGTTATAGCATCTATGTGATGATGTCATCCTACTTGTGTCATCCTTGGGCCCACCTCCTAAACGCCCCCCTCCCCCAGGCACGATGAATTCAGCCAGGTCTACGTTGTTTTTCTTCCCATCGTAAACCTGATGCCAGGGTGGCATCAGAGCCTCTGATGCCAAGAGCCTTGATAGTACAGTGGTTTAGTGCACCCTGTCATTAACACAGCTGCCTGCAATTTCTGCTGGTTCGAATCTCTCCAAGGCTCAAGGTTGACTCAGCCTTCCATCCTTTCTAAGGTAGGTGAAATGAGGACCCAGTTTGTGGGGCAATAAGCTGACTTTGTATAAAATATACAAAAGAATGAAGGCTATTGCTTAACGCATTGTAAGCCGCCCTGAGTCTCCGGAGAAGGGCGGCATATAAATCAAATTAAAAAACAAACAAACAAACAAAAACCCTAGATAGATAAAAGAAAAACTGTGCCATGAAAATAGGAGGTACTGGAAAGGACTGGAAAACATGGTATTGAACTGACTTTCTCACCTTCTTCGTGTAAATCCTGAGTGGCCTCAAAAGTTCTGATAGATCTTTTATGACTCAGAAAGCCTCACTAGAAAAAAACATTAGGTTTGAAAAATGCATTTTCTGGAGTAGTGGAATTAAATGGTCAAGGAATCCGAAAAAGGTACGTTATACTGTACTTACGTAACACCAGTTTTGCAGACAAAGTTGCCATATTTTCTGGGAGATCGCCTGCTCTCAGAACTTCCAGGTATGCATTTTGGAAGGTTCTGGTGGGGGAGGGGGCAACTGAAGATGTGGGTGATTATTCAACAAAAGCACCAACTTTTGGAAGCTGGATCTCCAAAACAATCTGTGAAGGACAGATTATATTTGCCTTCCCAGGGAGGGTGTCTCTTGGCTGCATTTAAACCTTCTGCTGTACCCCAGTTGGGATAACATGGTTTGTTCAAACTACATTTGTGAAAGCTGCTGAAGCATACTATGGTTGGTTGGAAGCCTTGTACGACACACGAATCCAGCTAGTCTGGTTTTTCAAAACCTGAGTTACAGGCTTGGCTAAAACCAACTGATAGTAGCCTATCCAATAAGCCAGGGGTCTGCAACCTTAAACACTCAAAGAGCCATTTGGACCAGTTTCCCACAAAAAAGAAAGCACCGGGAGCCACAAAACCCTTCCTGCGTCTGACTATTTCTTGAGTGGCCACAAAACTAGCATATGTAGTTGAATTAAATGTTCTGTTTTCTTCTGAAACTTTTCTTTTCTTGGATTTATCCATGGTTGGCCTACCAGGGGTGGAAAAGCTCAATAAATCATGTGCCGGTGGTTGTGACACATATTTTGAGTGCCAGGGAGCCGCAGCAGAGGGATGAAAGAGCCACATGCGGCTCCAGAGCGTCAGGTTGCTGACCCCTAGTTTAAGCAAAACCACTGCTTCTGGACAGAACGCCACCAAGATAGTGTAGGGATCAGCTTGCCTTCTGAAGTTGTGGGTGCTCCATCACTGGAGGTTTTTAAGAAGAAACTGGACAGACAATTTGTCTGAAATGGTATAGGTTCTCCTGCCTGAGCAGGGGGTTGGACTAGAAGATCTCCAAGGTCCCTTCCAGCTGTATTCTGATATATGGCTGGTCAAACAGAAGCCTCGCCAGCTTCCTGATCAGAGCATCAAACCTGGTTCTTTCAGCTGAAATCTGTGATTTGTTCCTGCCGTGAATTTTACTCACTATAGGAAACTTTGGCCAGGGTGCTGAGAAAGGTAGGAGTATATCTTGTACATACGACCAAGCTTAGGAAGGATTGCATCATTGCAGAAAGTTCAGATGACTGGGAATCTTCATAGGCAATGTTGGAAGCAGAATATCTGGTTTTCAGCTCTATCTTGGGCTCCCCAGTGGCCCAGCTGCCTTTCCCTCTCCTGCCTTCCCTTCTCCGGTCCAGCGGTGACATCCAGAGGCGTCCCCTCCCCACCCAACCCGCCCCGAGCATGTGCAGAGTGCTTTCCACCTCCGCGCGGAGTAGAGAAGGCAGCCCAATCCCGCTCTCCTCCACCTCCCAGCTCCCTTTTTTTGGGCAGGACGCAGAGCCGATGGGTGGGATGGGATGGCGGAGAGACCCGGGAAGAGAGGAATCGCTGACGAGGGCTTAGAGAGCCACCGCGTTTGGGGAGGGGGCGGAGGAAGACCCCCTTGGAGGCGACTCGGCTGGGGAAAGTAAAGAGGGCGGAACTGAGGCGAGGCATGCAAAGATTCCCCCTCCCCTCTTTTTTTTTTCCTATGGAAGACTCCCCCCCCCTCCTCTCTCTCCCGGAGGCAGTTTTTGAGGGGGGTCTCGGGGAAGGGCAGCGGAGGGGAGGGGAATCTCTCTGGGTTTCCCCAGCCCTTTGCGTGGACAATAGGGAAGGGGGCGCCCCTTCTCCCGCCCCCAGCCCTGCTGCAGTAACAAAGAGCCCCTCATAAATCAGCAGCGCGGACCCCCCACCCCCCCACTAGACCTTCCCACCAGCCCCTCCATCCCTCCCACCCATTGGTGGTCCCCCCTCGGCCTCATTTGCATGCCCCTCCCTTTTCCAAGCCAGCCCCTCTCTCGATTGGTCCACTCGGGGGGCGTCCCTCATCTCTGCCCAACTGTCTGTCAAAATTTTCAAGCTTTCTTTCTCTCTCCCCCCCCCACCCTCTTCCTCCTCCTCCTCCTCCTCCTCCTCCTCCCCCCACCCCTTATGAGATGCAGCAAGGCTGGCGGGTTGAATGCGAGAGCCAGCCCGTACCTTCCTCCGCCGTTCCCCCCCCTTCCCCTCTTTTTCTGCCGCTCCTCCTGCCGCGGCTGCAGAATTCCCCCTCATCTCCATCCAGGACCACAGCCGGAGAGATGAACCGCGTCCTGCTGGCAGCGCTGCTCTTTAAGATGAGCATCCTTTTGCTCTCGCAAGGTACCGCGCCATCCCCATCGGGCGCCGGGGGTCGGGATGGGGGTGGGGGGCGGGAGGTCGGAGGACCCGAGGTGGGAGGGGGCCCGGCCGGGTGTTTGTGTGTGTGTTTGTGTATATACGTGTGTGTGTGTGCGGGGTGGGGGGAAAAGAGGGTCCAGCCGAGCCTGGGAGCGAGCGAAGTCGTGCGCGGACGGAATACCCAATGCGTCTCTCTGGGCACACACACACGCGGGGGGGTCGGGGGGGAAGGGGGGGGGGGGGGGGAAGGAATATGCGCGCGCGCCGCCGCCGCCGCCGCCGGCGGGAATCACAACAGGGTTGCGTGCCACCAAGGGAGCGCAACCGTACCTATGCATCGGGGTACCCGGCGAGGTACCCTAAGATATACCCCCCCCCCCTTGGCCCGCTCCGCTCTGGGGGTCTGCGCCTTTCCTTGAGGTCTCGCTCCCCGCTCTGCAGATTTGTGGTCACGTTGGGTGTCACGGCTGCATGCCTTTTGGAAACCCCCCTCCCCTTCTCTCTTCCCCCCCCCCACCTCCTCCCTCCCTCCCTCCCTCGGCGGAGATGTCACAACAACTGCAGGCGTGCTGTAGGAATGCACAATTGTGCCCCCCCACCCTTTCCCCGATGAATATTCATGGGGAGGGAGAGCTTTCGTGGAAAAAGCGCAACCTGCCTGCCTGTCACTCTGGCGCTCGGATGTGGCTTTTCCCCTCCCTGCCTGCCCGTGGGAGGCGGGGGAGGGGGGAGATCAGACCCGGCTTGGGAGCAGAGACCTGCAAAAAGGGGTCTTTGGCAGGGATAAAGCCGGAATCTGGCTGGGGTGGGGGCTGCCCGAAGAGAAACGGGAAGGGGAAAAACGCGCTGCCGGGAGGAGGAGGAGAGAGAGCGAAGCGGAGCGCTTTGCGACGGTTTTGGTTAGAGACTCCCTGCTTGGATGGAGTCGCCTATTTGGGGGAAAATCCAGAGCAAAAAAAAAAAGGGGGGGTGGAAGAGAAAGAAGGCAGTTGTGTAATGTGCGCAGGACTCAGGACTGAAGAGTTGCAGGGAGGAAACGCTGGAAGAAGGGAAGCTAAGGCTTCTGATGCTTGGAGGATGTAGAGAAACAAGGCTGGGACCTCCCCAAAAAAGAGAGATGGAAGACAGGAGGGAGGGAGCTATATGTTGCGAAGGGACAGGTGAGGTCTGCAAAGCTCCCAGGAGAAGTGTTACACCTGCTTACCTGGAAGTTAGGCCTGTAGTAGTAGTGCCATCGGTATACTGGTGTTCACACCACATACTTAACCAAGACAATTGCAAACTTCCCAGCCGCAGTTGCAGGATACCTGGAAGCTGCTGTGGTTTTAACCTTGATGGGTTTGAAGGTGTGTTTTTTTTTGGGAGGGGGGCAGTGTAGGTTACTGTATTGTGTGAACTCAGACCCGGGTGCCTCACAGAGTGTTGTACAAACCGGGAAAAGTGGGTTGTTTCAGGAGCCAGGAAAAGATTGCTATGTGAATTCTCAACCACTGGGTTTCCTTATCTCCTGTTCCTTCCAACTCCACATTTCCCAGGGTTAAATCTCAAACCGAGCATCCCAAGAGGCCTTGGGAAGCAGACAGGTTTGTTCTCCTCATAGGCATGACAACAACAAGGGTTGACATGCACAATGGTGCCATGTATTGGTGCAGGTTCCTGGGATTAGTTTACTGGCGTTGATAAGGCTGATTAGTGCCTTGAATTTGCTGAGGTAAGACTTCCCCAATTCTAAGATCAGGTGTTGTTGTTTTTTTAAATGCCAGGAGTGGCTTTCCTAATTTCACAACAGCAAAAAGAAATCTGCTGGATCTGACCAAAGATCTATTTTTTTTCCTACCACCAAACAATCGTAGCGAGACATCTTGCTGTCTGTTTTTTTTCCCTGCCATTTGTCATTTGAAGATAGAGCATCCCTGAATGGAGAGGTTCCACGGGGTTATAAAGCCCAGCGGATTCGAACCGATCTGCCTTTTCTTGAATCTCCCTAATCATTTCCTAAACCCCCATTCACCAACTGGTAATTTTAGTCTTCTGCAATAATAATACCCTGTAGTAACGGATTTGAAGGAGTAATTCTGGATGATTCATTTCTGCTTTCTGGAGGCAACTGCCAAGCGATTTAATTCCGAGCATCTGAGATCTGGTCCTGGGGAAAAAAAAGAGGGGGGAGAAAACAGAACTCTCTTTTTCCAGATTTACAAGTGGCATGACAGCAAGTGTTGATGTTGGTAATGTTTTTCCTGAGCATCCTTTTGATGATTGCTCAGCTTTGCCTGGGCCTCTGTTGATGCTGAAGTTCTGTTTTTAGCATTGCTCAGTTTGATCACCCTTGCAGATGGTTGATTGGCATTCTTAGCATGTACGAGCAAGAGTCTTGTGGAACCTTGAAGATGAGCAAAATTCCTCTTGGCATCTGCTTTCCTTGGCTGGCTCTTATGCCACCAGCTGTCAGATCCATCTGATGGTAGTGTTGCTTGCCTTTAAGAGGCCACTGGGATGTTTGCTCCTGCTGCATCAGACTCTGTTCTGGAAAGTTCAGGCCAAAGAAACCTAGAAGGCTTCCTCCAATAGTTCCTTGTCAAGCCAGAGAAGGTCCAGAGAAGGTCCGAGGGGCTTCGTGATATGGATAGAATGTGTTCTAAAGCCCACCTCCTTTGGAGAGGAGAGGGCTCTCATTGGCTGGCTGTGTGGCATTGCCAAGCAGGCCTTTTTTTTTTTTTTTACTTGGTGCCACATCAGTGGTGTCATCACACTGAGCGGTTCTATTGGCAGAGCTGGATCTGGGGAGCTTCGATCTCAGCATGATTGGCAGCGCAGGGAGCTGGTAAATCTGGAAGTGCTGTGGCTGAGTGCGGAGGACTGGCATCATTGGACTGAGACAAGGTAATGAGAAGTCCAAGTGTGGGACTACCAACCTTGTTCTGCCTACTGGAGCAGCAGATGATTCTCCAGCACAATTCAATTCAAAGCCAGAATCGAAACACTGCGTGTCTTGGAGAGAGGTCAGAATAATGTCAGCATGGGCTTGGAAGACTTGAGGGTCAGTTTTGGGCTTCAGTAGAGGGCTACTGTACAGAGGGGGCCTTGAAGAAGGAACGTAGGAACGGCGATGGGAAAATAAGGAGGAACTTGGTTTTAGGAAAAGGATGGGAATGATAAAAGTAACTCAGATTTGTTTAATATCCAGGTAGTTTTTGATTTATGTCTGAAGTTCAATGGAGCCCCCCAAAAGATACTTATCACATGACTTCAAAGTTATATGGTGGACATGCAAAAAGATTAAGGCTTTTTGGATAAAAATATGGTGGATTATTCAAAATATTTTGAAGAAAAAAATTAAATTTACACCACAGTTTTTTCTGTTGGGAATAGTTACGGATTGTACTGTAATAGAGACTAAGCTGGTTTTGAACTTAATAACGGCTGCCAGGTTACTGGTGGCACAGTACTGGAAGAAGGAAGATCCACCTACTATTGAGGAATGGACATTAAAAGTTGTGCATTTGGCGGAAATGGCAAAAATTTCATCATACCTTAAAGACCATTCAAATGAGAGAGATATATCGGAATGGACAAAATGGATTGATTACATACAGAAGAAGTATCCGAAGTATCCGAATAAGAAGATTCATATAGCTTATGAATGAAATAATATTAAGTAGTTTATGTTTGTTTTTTCTGAGTTATAAGGAGTTAAGGACCTAGGGAGAACATGAAATGTAATAATTTGTTAGCACATTTTAGTTCTTGGTTTGTGAATGCTATACCCTGTGCTCGTTCTGGGAAGTCTAGGGAGGGGGGTGGGGGGAGGGAGGGGAAGGGAGGGTGGGGGGGTGAAAATGTTTGTACTTTTCATAAAAGTTATGATGTACACACACATACACATCCACACAACATGGTCATGTGATTGCATTTGGGGCATTTAGCAACCAGGTCAACTTTACGGCTACCCTGTTTCCCCCAAAATAAGACCTCCCCTGATAATAAGCCCAATCGGGGCTTTTGAGAGCATGGCAATTAGGCCAAGCGCTTATTTCAGGGTTCAAAAAAATATAAGACAGGGTCTTATTTTGGGGGAAAACACGGTATATTTGTAGCATCCTAAAGTCACATCACCATGGGGTTGTTTTGATATTTTTATTCCTGGTTTCCAGCGTTTACTTACGGTTTCTGACAAAGATGCTCATTGGGATTAGTGGGTTAACTCAATGACCACCATAAAAGATGTCAATAATTTTAGGTGATCCAGTGACCTGCTTAATGACCTCAATGACTTACAATTCTGGGCTCAGTTAAGAATCGTAAATTGAGGATTACCTGGGAGAGGAGGCAGGAGAAAGCTGGTAGGCTTTCAAAATTCTATTCTTAAAATCTCCAACAACTAAGCAGCTTTCTGTCCATCTTTGCATTGTCTTGTTTCTTCACCTGGCTGACCTCCAAAAGGTTGACAACCTCTTGAATGGAAAGGGTCAAATTGGGGGCGGGAAATGCTACTGTCACTTAGGACAGGGGTCTCCAACCTTGGCAACTTTAAGACTTGTGGACTTCAACTCCCACAACTCTGGGAGTTGAAGTCCACAAGTCTTAAAGTTGCCAAGGTTGGAGACCTCTGACTTAGGAAGACTTCTTAAGGGTTGGAGGGAACAAATAGGGAGATCTAGTAACAACGTTCTTCTATCTGCAAATGTTAAGAACTGAACCCTAACATTCACCTACTCCAGGGGCTCCTAAACATTTTGGCATGACACTCCCCCTCCCTTGAGTGTAATCTTAAAATATACACATTCTCTAAAACTCCAAACTCCAAAATCAGGGGAGTCTTCAAATTTGGCAACTTTATGACGTGTGAGCTTCCAACTCCCAGAATTCCTCAGCCAGTTGGAAGTTGAAATCCACCAGTTGCCAAGTTTGGAGACCCCCCTGATGTCCAAAATGTATACAAATAAACAACAAAAACAATACAATGAAAGGGAAAGGATCTT